GCCTCTTATTGTGGTTTTCTAAACCTAAACTGGTACAATGCAGAAATTAAGCAGAATAAAATCCCCCTCCTCATGTTCCATGCAAAAAAAAAATCTCATGTAAATAATTTCTGTCTCACTGAGGCACAGGAACAGTGACTGTGATTTTTTTAAAAAACTGGCTTAAAAATATGCTTCCTATTAAAAATCTGGTTTTTCCCATGGTCTCGGAACTAATCTATTGATCTCCAGAGGAACATACTAGTAGCTAAAATGGTAGCATTGGTGTCAGGTGCTTAAAAAAATACCAGAAAAGTTTTGCTTGCATGGCGGAAGTTACAGATATATGTTCCTGGCTACTACCTGGCTGTTACCAACGTCGCTCAAACACTGACCTAAATATACAAAGGAAAAATAAAAATTGCAGGCACGGATCTTGACTAGGGTTGCCAACAGGACTCGGGGGAATGTCTTGCCACTTTAATAGAGACTTAATTTGTAAATTGTAATGTCTCTATGAAAGGGACAGGATTTTTTCTTCTTCAGGCAGCTTGCAAACTTAATCACTTTGATATTAATATGGGTAGTTGTGTTTGTCTGTAGCAGTAGAGCCAGTTTGGTGTAGTGGTTAAGTGCACAGACTCTAATCTGGGAGAACCGGGTTTGATTCTCCACTCCTTCACATGCACTTGCTGAATGACCTTTGGCAAGCCATAGTTCTAGCACAGCTGTTCTTGAAAAAGAGCAGTTTCTGTCAGAGCTCTCTCAGCCCCACCTACCTCACAGGGTGTCTGTTGTGGGGAGGGGAAGGGAAAGGAGTCTGTAAACCGCTCTGAGACACCTTTGGGTAGTGAAGGGCGGGGTATAAATCCAATATTTTCTTCTTCTTCTTCTTCTAGAAAAGAGCAAGAGTCCAGTAGCATCTTAAAGACTAACAAAATATATGGCAGGGGAGGAGCTTTTGTGAGTCACTGCTCACTTCGTCAGATACCCTCATATCCTGCCACATATTTTGTTAGTTTTTAAGGTGCTACTGGACTCTTGCTCTTTTCTGCTACTTTAATATTAGACAGCAAAAAGTAGGGGTTATACTAGGATCTGGGAGATGCCAGTTCGAATCCCCACTCTGCCATGGAAGTATGCTGAGTGACCTTGAACCAGTCACTTTTTCTCAGCCTAACCTCCCAGAGTTGTTGGGGGGGGGGGATAAAGGAAGGGAGAACAGTGTTGTAAGCTGCTTTGACTCTCCAATGGGGACAAAAGCGAGGTATACATATTTAAATAAATAAATAAAACATACTGATAGGGATTGATGTACTAATTCCTGAGAGAAAGACCTTGGATGTTAATCAGATTTGCTTAGAACCCAAGATCATTAGCTAATGTTTGTTATTATTAAAAATAAGAGAAATTTATGGAGCTCCTTGCTCGAAAAATTGACCTTTGAGTGTTAGAATTCTCCAACCAGCGTTGGCTTGGGAAATTCTTGGAGGTTTGGGGTCAGAGCCTGGTAGGGCGGAGTTTGGAGAGGGGAGAGAGCTCAAAAGGAATGTGATCCCTCATTCACCATCCAAAGCTGGCATTTTCCACAGCTGATCCCTGTACTTTGGCGATCAATTGAATTTCTGGGAGAACTCTAGTCCCCAACTTGTAGGTGGTAACCCCATGTCGGCCACTTGAGGACAAAAAAGCAAAACAAGAAAAACTGATGTGGCAAACAAACAGGTAATGTGTATATTACTTCCTGGGAAAGTTTGCAATCAAGCCCTGCAGGAAGTCAAGGAGGAAATTCACCCTGGAGTCTTATCTAGCAAACTGACTTTAGCAGCAGCCAGGAAGCTGAAGTTTGAAACCCATCTGCTAACTTCTCCCTTCCCAAGTTCTTTAGGTTAAGCTCCGCCTGTAGAATATCTGTCTGCCATTCCAGATGCAAAAAAGTACAGTCGGTGGGGATATAAGAAAAGGAAGCAAGTGGTAGCCCTTTGCTTTGGTTACATCTTGAGACATTTGCAGACCTTTTTTTGGAGAGGGGGGAAAGTAAGGCCAACTGAAGTTAATTGAAGTCCCCGTTCTGCCTGCACCGCTGCGTGTGTCTAATACAATCTGTTCCTACAGATCTTTCCGAGGCAATCAAGTCAGTGATGTGTTAATTTAGAAGGCCTGCCCGTCGGAGGGATCTTTCACCTCCCCTTCACTCTGCTATAAATCTGTTGCTGGCTACAGTGCCAAGATCCTCACACACACACACACACACACAGCATCCAAGAGGGCAAATTCTGAATCACTGAAGGCAGGTTAGTTCTCCCTTAACCCCCCTTTTCACTATCCTCTCCAACTTGGGGCAATCTGATTAAAACACGGCTGGTTTTGTTGCATCCCTTAAAATAGATGCTGGCTGGCAAGGACAGGATTTTTTTACAATTTAAGTTTGTGTAATGTATCCAGTCCAGACAAGTCCAGACAAGTCCAGAGACAAACGTCGAGCTTCGCTCCAAGAAACAATGGACTATGCGGATCCTAGCCCACTCCAATCAGGGGGCTGGGTTTCTGGCCGAGAGCCAATGGGACTCCCGGCCACTGTAAATAACCTATAGGGAAGTAGGGGTGTGTTTTGGGTGGCGGTTTCTCGGGGGATATAAGCCGGCCTGCGAGCCGGCCAAAGTCGTCTTGTTCCGGATAGAATAAAGTACACTTTGCTGAAATCACTCTCCGTTTGCGTACTTTTCAGTTTGTATTTCATTTTGATTCACGGGAGCCATTCTGGGAGCTGCCGTTTTGCTTGAAAAGTGGCCAGCAACAACAAAACAGTGACAATATATAACCTAGGGTTGCCAACCTCCAGGTGGGACTTGGAGGTCCCCTAGAACTACAACTCATCTCCAGACTACAGAGGTCAGCCCCCCCCCCTGGAGTAAATGGCATCTTTGGAGGGTGGCATTAGACCCCACTGTGAGATCCCTCCCCTTGCTAAACTCCACTCTCTCCAGTCTCCCCCCCCCCCAAAAAAAAAATCTTCAGGAATTTCCTGCCCCAGAGCTAGCAACTGTAATGTGAGGAAATACAGAACTGGCTAATTGACTGTGCTGTGAGCTGCGGAAACCCATCCCAGCTCAAACTCCACTGCAGCTGTGAAACTACATTTCAGCTGCTCTCACCAGCTTTTTCCCTTGCAGTGACTGAAGATTTGTTGTAGAGTCTCTTAACCAACATGGCTTCCCCCAGAACGGAGTCGCCAGCCTGTGGTTGGGGTCTGGAGATCTTCAGGAATTACACCTCATCTCCAGGCAGCGATGATCCGCTTCCCCTGGAGAAAATGGCAGCTTGAGTGGGTGGTCTCTGCACATCACA